CAAACGCAAGAAACGAGTATTAAATCTTAATTCTGGTTGGTGTTAAGGTGAGCAAGTTAATGCTGAGCAACTAACTTCTTTGTTGTTGACAAAAACAGAGGAAATAGGTACCACAAAAGAGATGTTGCATAGAGAGGTGCTAAATATTACTTGGGTTTCTTGTTTTATAATTTAAATTTAAAGTACATTTTTGATATTATTTATGTGTTCACTTGTATAAAATCTATGTGAAAGAGGAACTATAAGGTGTTATGAGGTGTTAACTAGGGAAGTTCATATCTTATTTTAATTAATCTGACTTAATTTAATTAAAAATTAATTAAAATTGTTATCTAATTAAATCAATTTAAATAAAAAAAAATTAAAAATTGATTAAATTGGGTTTACTTTATAAGACTGTTAAGCATACAGCCGATGAAAATTGTAAAATTTAACATTAATCTCTTTCCTATCCTACCCTTCAGACTACGAAGACCAAACGCCTTTTCCAGTATCTGATTGTTACCCCCCAAAGCCTTCCAAATTCCCGATGGGCTCCTGCTTCAACCCTCAAGCTCTCTTCTAGGGGAGCGATCTTCCTTCTCAGCAGCTCTTCGTTTCAACCCTTGTTCTTAATCCCCTAGAAAGACTTGATTTTGCAGACAAAGAAAGGCGTACGCCCTGAACAAGGTTGGACGAGGAAGACAAGTTCAGCTTTGATTTGTTTTCTTGGGAAAATTTATATTTAGCGGATCTGTGAGAAGTTTTGTTCTTACCACTATCCAAATGGTTATGGGCCTGTTTCTGTCGATTTTAGGAATTGTTTTCGATCCGTTTTTCTTGGTTTTACTTCTTTTTTTTTTTTTTTTTTGACAATGAAAATTATATGGTTAAGTTAGCATCTGTTTAACACTGACAGGATTCGACCTCAAGATCAAAAGGTGCATTCCACTTTGCTGCTGAGCAGCGTGGCCACGCGGGCCACGTGGGGGAATGCGGTTTTACTTTACGTTTGGTTTGGCAAGGGGATGAAGTGTTCATCCGCGTTATATGATCCGTTCGGGTCGTCGTGGACCCGACGGATCATGTTTTTCGGTCAGTAGGACCCATACGAGTTGGACGTGACACGTCCTCCTTCGATGCCAGGTTGGGCCGTATCTGACCCAACCCAAACTCTTTTTTGGACCCAAGAATAAAAAACAAAAATAAATGAAACTCATTTTGGACCTTTCAGAGGCCCATCAGTGGCCCGGACTTTTACAACAATTGCGAGGCTATCACACGATTTTGTTAAGAAAAAGGTTTTTTTTTTTTAGTAAGGATTGTACTTTTTTTTTGTGCAATTTAAGTATTACCATTATTAAAATATTATTAATATATAAACATGCAAAACCCTTATATTAAGATTATTTTACTAATCTCGGTACTTGGATTACAAAAGAAATGCAATTCGTACTGAAAACACAAATTTATGTTTTGTGTATACGGAAAAAGTTTTCATTGAAATGTATAACGTACCCCAACTGTTACATCAAACATTTTATTTCTTAGCACACACATCTCAAATTACAACGCACATCACACATACAACACAAACAAATCCTTCCACACAATCAGCCCTTATAACCAAACAATTATCATAATGATAGTATAAAGAGGGACACAAAAGGTGGCAGGAACCTTCACGGCGCTGGAAGGGCCCGGAAGGGGAAGACTCTCGTGTCACCAAGTCGGCAATCCTCCGAAGCCGCTGAAAGAAGACCTTAATCAAAAACAGTATTTGACATATAATCTTTGACTGAACTAGAGTACACAAAATGGGTTTCGAGGCCTACTGATCCCCAAGAAAAAGACAGACAAAGCAAAATTACCTTTAAACATCACTCGAAGTTGGACATTGATTGAGAATCCCTGCATGTGAGAGCAAAGCCCACAAGTGGGTCACAAACTCTCCACCTTTAGCGAGGTGTTCCACATGGGCCATTGGATACCTAGAAAGAGACAGAAATAACACCAGTTCTGTCCAGAAATCGGCCAACACCTTCCACTTATCTTTCCCAATATTTGGTAAAAGTAGCAGTTGCTTGGCCAGCATTGCACCCTTATATATAAATGATGGTTTCATCTTCGCCAAGACTACTAATCTTTTCATACATTTCGCTCTCTGAATTGCAGTCCTTAAGAATTCGTCTTGCTTCCTCGATTACTTTATCGAATATAAACTCATAAGCATTAGGATTAACACATATCAACCTTGGAGCAAAAGCAACCAGATAGGAACAATAGCCAGAAAGGGCGCAGGCTATTTTGAAATCATCAGGTGGTGGGTTTTTGATTGAATTTGCAGGACTCCTCGTTGATTCATCAAACATACTGAGACCAGTAGCCACATGCCACACCAAGATCACATGGGTGGGAGTCTCCAATGTACATGCCGAAGAAAGCTGCTCATTATTCCAAACTCCATTTCGGCGCAAAGATTCTGCTCCAATATTACTTAGTTCGAGAGGTTGATCATTCCTTCTGAGACTATTCATCACTGCTTTCTTTACCTCCTCGGGCAATTTGATTCGACATTTTCCTTTTTGACTTGCTCTTGGAATATCTATTATGCCACTGGAAAGAAACATCAACAAACACTCAAATTTAAGTCTCCAAGGGTTCCGATTGAAGGACTTCAGTAGAAAATATTGACCAAGTTTTCTCTTCCAAGGTTTGAACCGTTCCTGACAGAACAGGATAGTCTTCGGCCAAAACATAAGGTAGGTAGGCAATGAAATGCCCCTCACATAGTTGCAGATCCAAAGCACAGTGGCTCAATTCGATACAACGAGGAGGAGAAGCTGCACAATCTCCATTAAGAAAAGTAAAACTAAGATGATAGTTGTAACTACCTTGTCCACGCTAAGTTTATTAGCTGCAACTAGAGTGACCTCTTCGCAGGTCGTGTGATAAGTAGTGTCCAGGTTTAATATTAATAGCCCCAGCACACAGCAGCCAGAGAGTAAAAAGACAGAATAGAAGATCTCGAGCTTTTGCAATCCTTGCCCATTTTGGAAGATGACTGCCTATTTGGTGTAGAAAAGATCAAAAAGGAAACTGAGTTCTACCTCGATCACCCTGAAAGCTCTTTTATAGTCCCCTTCCTCGGAAAGTAGACCATGTCGAACAAGCCTCCATGTTTTACTTTTAGCTTTGCTGGACTCCAAGAAGGGACGCCCTCCGAATCTTCGACAAAGGAGTCTGAACAAGGCAAACGAGAGGCAGATGTCCTTGAGCCGTTGGCCGTTTTCACCCGTTAAAAGATTCCCGCTGCACTGCCAGATCTTCTGGAGGGTAACGACTTGGGGATTCGTAACCTTCAGCTGATAATCATAACTCGGTGCGGAGGCAATCCACTTAGTATCTCCTGAGACCAAATAATTATAACCCTTCATTTGGGTTGGATCTGCTTCACCTCTAACGGAAATTTCATGCTCCGCGGCCGTGAAATCTGCAATATTTTTGGTGGTCTGGGCTAAGAAAGATTTAGTGGCCATCTTCAAAGCTCCTGCTCTTTCGTCTATCCTTTTAGCTTATAAAAGGAAGGAAATAACAAGAAGTCTTACCATATGTTAGAAAATAGAAAAGAAGAATAATTTGAAGAAATGTTTATTGCTTTCTTGAATTATATTGTATGTACAATAACTTATATATAGGTGTTTACAAAGAAAATATTTTAAGGTATAAAGTATATAAAGAGAATATTTTATAGTATAAAATATTTACAATAATTTTAAATATAATTGTGTTCACATCTTAACATCCTCCTCAAACTTAAGGTGGTTGTGATGAAACTAACTTGAGTTTGGAAAGAAGAGTACGAAAGCGTGTAGGAAAATGAGCCTTGGTAAAGAGATCTGCTGGTTGATCAGCGGAGCCAATGAAAACCAAATGAACAATTCCTTGTGCAACATGATGGCAAATAAAGTGACAATCAATCTCAATGTGTTTAGTGCGTTCATTAAAGACATCATTATGAGCAATCTGCATAGCACTTTGATTATCACAATATAAATTAGTAGAAGAAGGTTGAGGAATGCCCATATCTTCAAGAAGCCACCGTAATGAAAAAAGTTCTGATGTGGTATCCCCAAGAGCTCTATACTCAACTTCAGTACTAGAGCGAGATGGAATAGTTTGTTTCTTACTCCGCCAAGAGATAAGAGAATTACCAAGGAAAAGACAGTGACTAATGATAGATCTACGATCAGAAGGATCACCAACCCAATTAACATCAGAGTAAGCACGAAGCACAAGGGAGGAGTTGGCAGAAAAATGGAGTCCATGAAATAATGTTCCCTTAACATAGCGAATAATGCGAAGTACAGCTGCATAATGAGTGGAGCGAGGAGTAGCCATAAACTGACTAACAATGTGAATTGCATATGCTATATCAGGGCGTGTCGTAGTAAGATAAACTAGACTACCAACCAATTGCCAATAGCAAGTAAGATTAGAAAGTGGAGAGCCATCCATAGGTGTAAGCTTGACATTAGGTTCAAGAGGTGTAGAAACACTCTTACCCTCATTGAGTTCAGCTTTCCAAACAAGATCGGAGGCATACTTTACTTGAGAAAACAGGTAGCCATCATTTGAACAGGTCACTTCAAGCCCCAAAAAATAGCTCAGAACACCAAGATCTTTCATTTCAAATTTCTGACTGAGAGATTGTTTTAACTTCTCAATACCTGCGACATCATCTTCAGTAATAATCATGTCATCAACATAAAGAAGTAAAAGAACCATACCCCGAGCAGTCTTATGAATGAACAAAGTTGTATCATGTGGACTAGAAGTAAAACCAAACTCACTCACAGTAGCACTAAACTTTACATACCAAGCTCGAGGGGATTGCTTCAACTCGTATAATGCATGGCGCAATCGGCATACCTTGTTTGGAGGATGGTTGAGCCAAAGAGGTGGTTTCATATAAACTTCTTCTTCTAGGTCACCATTAAGAAAAGCATTTTTCACATGCATCTGAAACAATTTCCATCTCCGCATAGCAGTAATAGCAAGCAAACTGCGCACAGATGTAAGCAACTGGAGAAAATGTCTCCTCATAGTCGATTCCATACTCCTATGTAAAACCCTTGGCAACCAAGCATGCCTTATAACACTCCACAGAACCATCAGATCGTGTTTTGATCTTGTACACTCATTTACAACCTATTAGAGATTTTTCAACAGAGATATCAACTAAATCCCATGTACGAGTGTTCTCAAGAGCTTGTAATTCATCTTGCATAACTTGTTGCCAAAGAGGGTTAGAAGAGGCCTCTTGATAGGATTGAGGCTCATGTAACGAAGTAATAGCAGGAAGAATACCATGTAGATGCTAGTATGGAGACTGGTTATTAAGGATTGATGATGGAATGCGATTAATAAGATAAACAACTGTAAGAGCAGCTTCAACCCAAAATCGCTTTGGACAAGAAGATGAGATGAGCAGAGCACAAACAGAATCAAGGATGTGTCTGTGTTTGCGTTCGGCTTGCCCATTTTGTTTAGAAGTATAAGGACAAGATTGTTGTGACAGTGTACCTTGTTCTTTCAAAAAGGATTGAAGTTTAGTACCAAGATATTCAGTAGCATTGTCAATTCTCAAAACTTTGATAATTTTAGAGAATTGAGTTTTGACCATGGTAGCAAAATCAATATAAATTTATGATAATTCAAAGCGACTTTTCATAAGGTATATCCAGGTAAAACAAGTATGATCATAATCAATAAATAACACGAAGTACCTGGAACCCCCATGGTGGGTGTAGGAGATGGACCCCAAACATCAGAATGCACGAGATCAAAAGGAGCAGTAGAATGAGAATGACTACTTGAAAAAGATAAAGCTAGTTGCTTTGTAGATTGACATGACACACAATGCATAGATTCATTCGGAACTGATCCTAATAAACCACGAGAGATAAGTGGATGAAGTTTACCGATTGAGATATGTCCGAGTCATGAGTGCCACAAATTGAGAGGAGAAATGTTAGTAGCAGCACAGGCTTGAAATATTTGTTGATATGGAATTTGCAAAGACTCTAATTCAATAGCACAAAGCAGGGTTTGGATGAATCGATCATTTGGAAATGATAGTGTATCCATTTTATTATCAAGAATATGCAAATAGTTGAGCTCAAACAAACGCCCCACCTTGCGACCAGTTCCAAGAAGTTGTCTTGTCCGTGGGTCCTGCACACGACAACCATGAGCAGAAAATGTTACTTCAAGACCAAGATCACATAATTGACCGATAGATAGAAGATTATCACTAAGTTTTGGAACTAAAAGGGCATTTGGTAAAGTCAATGACTTTGTAAAAACATTGCCAATGTGACTAACATTCATAGGGGAACCATTAGTAGAATAAATATCAAGAAAGGAATTATTAGGTGACATTGAAGAGAAATGAGCAGTAATTGAAGATATATGGTTACAACAACCAAAATCAAAATACCAAGGTTTGGTACCCGAAGCAGTAGATAAGGCAGTAGAAGCATTAAAAAGATTTAATATCACCTGTTTTAGGGATTCAAGTTAACATTAGGTTGTTCTATCACTTCTTTGGCAACCATAGCAGTAGCAGGATGAGTTACAATCCTTTCAAAACTCGCCATGGAATCAGTAAATTCACAATACTGAAAAACTCTAAAAATATGAAGAAATAGATGCCAAGATCGAAATAACAAACCAACAAAATACCTCAGAAAGAACCTGAGAATTGAGGATAAACAATCCAATCCGTAGGAGAAGAGATCCCAACGACAAAGTTTCAGATCTGGAATGAAATTGAAAATCCAACTCCAAAAAACCCAACAGCGATAATAAGAGAAAAGAATCAGGAGTTTATAGCTCTGATATCATGTTAGAAAACAGAAAAGAAAAATAATTTGAAGAAAGGTTTATTACTTTCTTAAATCATACTGTATGTACATTGACTTATATATAAGTGCTTACAAAGAGAATATTTTAAAGTATAAAATATATAAAAATATATATTTTAAAGTATAAAATATTTACAATAATTCTAAATATTGTATTCACATCTTAACATCATACTCTGTTGTAAGAGTGTAACCAAGAAGGGTCGACACCAAAAGAGATTGGAGTAGTGCTTGTGCAGTGACGCTCTTCCATTGTCCATTATCGGTAGGACTATAAGAAGAAAAGGAATTGGCACCCCTGGCAGTGTTGAGAAGAATCGCACCCCACACAGCAAAGAGTATATTATGGAACGGAGCACCCACAATCTGGCCGATAGTGAGGGTGAACACAACGTTGGTCACCAGGACGTAGTTCATCCATTGTATTTTATCAAACACCACGTTACTGCAGTAGCGCCTGCATGATCCAAAGACAACAAGAGCGACTGCTCCTGAAGCCATCAACACCATGTTTAATTCAATAAATGCCAATCTCTTCACGGCCTCTTTATGAGCATCATAAGGTACACTACAATTAAAGACGTGATGATGATGAGCCATTGAACTGATTGACAATCCTAAGAGATGTGTGTTTCAATAGGTACGGGTTTTTGATCCAGCTTTCAATGGGTTTTTCTATGAGTCAAAATGTAAAAACTAAACAGAGAACGTGGTATTATGTTTTTCTATGGGTTTCAACTTTCAATTAAATAAGCCCTCTTTTAAATTTATTGATAAAAAATTTAATCTTCACTAACACGTTGAAAAAAATCATCTCTTCCCAAATTATAGACTGCTCAAAAAAGAGTTTAAGGAAGAATTACTATGGCCTTTCTCTCGTCTTCCTTTACAGTCACTTCTCTAATTCTTCTCAAATCTTCCTCTCATAATTTCTACAGAATGATTCATTATGGTTCCGAAAGTTGCTTTTTCTCTTGAACTCATATCCAAAAATTTTCTTTTGTCTCCCCACCTCCCTTCATTCTGACCTTGAGTTGAAAGTTTTTGGCTTTTGTTAATGGAATGTAAGCCTAAAAACGTTGGATTTTCTTTTTATTTTATTATTCTATTATTTTATTATTTTATTAATTTTAAGATGTGATGGAAATGTTGAAAAAAGCAAGAAGAGGGATCTCAATGACGATCCAATTTTTGTTTCCTGGCTAATGTTTTTTTTCTTGGATCTGTTTAACTTTTATTCTTAAATAATAATTGAAAAGTATATTTATTATTTAAAAATATATTAAATATATTTTTTATTATAAATTTATATTGAAATAATAAAAAATAATTTTTAATTTATCAACTGTTTAATTAAATTTATCTAATATCAAAATTAGTATCAATTTTTATATTTTTTATATATATTTATGAAAAAAAAAATTTAATATACTTTTAAAACACAAATTAGAAAAATATTTTTTTCCTTTTTTTTTTCCTTTGAACAGGGAAATTTTTTCTCTTTTTTTTTTTTGGAAATGTGGTGTTTTTAGTTCTCTTAATTCCTTTATACAATAGTTTGCGTGTTCCTTTCTCCATTCTAAATTTACACAACCTTGTAAGGAATTACATATTTTGTTTGTTGCTTTAATCATCCATTAATTTATCAGTAATTCTAAAATCCCCTTGCATCCAGTGTTCCCAAATCACAGAATCCATCAATTGCGAAACAGTTTTTGGAAATTGAGGGTTAAAAGGGAATATGGGATCTAGTGGAGGCAAGCTTATTGGAGAGGTGGTTCATGATTGCCATCGTTGTTGTCAGAGTCAAAGTAGTGGGTGGAGGAGGAAAGGGGAGATTTCGGGAGGATTAGAGAAGAGAATACATCGTGGGGAGGTGAACTAACTGATGAGAAAGGGGGTGGGGAGAGACGCCGTAAAACTGTCTTTGTTAACGTGTGCTGAGATGTCTTTAATGAATTTAATGAAACGATGAGGTGGGCAAAATTAATGAGCTGTTGTTATTTGATTGATTCGAGATACCATAACAAACCCGTTATATGCTAGAATTTCCCGAAATTCTCACCATTCTATAGCTAAAGGCTGCACCTATGGTAGTTGTGGTTGAATGTTTGCATGGAAATTTCAACCATTGCAAACGTACTTCATTTAATGAGTTGAAGAAAATTGCGCAGATAGTTGGGTATCCACCGCTCGTACATGTCTGCTTTGAGCCCCAATTAGGGCTCGGCCTTGCCAAATGCTTCACCTCTGACAATGTGTTTAATGCACTGACACAGGAAAAACTAACCAAGGCTTGAGCAAAGTTCTATTGGTGAACATTTTTTTTTATATACATTTGAGAATTCAAACAGAAAATATTGTGTACTTAAAAACAGAAAATCCTTTGCCTTTACTATTACCTATCGAGGACATAAGTAGATTTCATCTGAATTTTGTGATTCTTCCATGTTTGATCTGTATGTCCCTCAGGTTGTTGGGAAGGCATCTCTGATGCTAAACACTCCTTGAGCTCTACAAGCACATGACTTATGTCTGGCCTTTGGTTGGCAGTAGCTGATGCACATGACATTGCTAACTTTGCGACATTTGAAGCAGTGTTGATATTGAATTTTCCTTGCAACTTTGGATCAACAATTCTTTGAAAATCCCCTGTCCCCATTACAGGCCTTACGTGCCTTACGTGATCAGTTATGCTAGTACAACTGTGGTTGTCTAGAGCAAAAGGAGGCCAACCGATTAACAACTCTAGTAAAATTAATCCGTAGCTGTACAGGTCAGTTTTCTTGTTTATTTCTCCCGAACAAAGATTCCTATATGAAAAACATGTAAGATGGACTATTTGCTATAGTTATAAGGGATAATTAGCTATTAGCTGTTGGCATAAGTTTAAAACTTACTCAGGAGCCATGCATCCTTGTGTCACATAAACATAATTAACTTGCTGATATTCTTCATACAAAGATGTGCCTAATCCGAAATTGCTTATCTTGCCTCTCATGTTTTTAGTTAACAAGATATTATTGGGTTTCAAATTTCTATGGACTATAAATGACTCGCAACACATCTGGAGATATTCCAACCCTGCAATTCTAGCATAACAACACCAGCTGATAACTCAAGGGGACAGTAAACCAAAAGAAATTGAAGAAAGTTTTCAGTAAATAAATAATTACCATATGCAATATCAATAGCAATTTGAAGCCTCTCATTCCAACTCAAAATTCTTTTGTGTTTCCCTGCAGGAAAAGGAAAAAAGATAACAATTTTTAGTTTAGGTAAACAAACTTAAAGACAGTTAAAATTGATTATATATGGTGAAAACCTGATAAATGCTCTCTCAAATTTCCATTAGCCATGTATTCATATATCAATGCCTTAATGCCATTTTCATCACAGTGTCCCACTAGAGAAAGAACGTTTCTGTGAGAAAGGTGACTTAACAGTTCTACCTGCATTCCAGAAAGATGCTCGATCAAAGTGAAAATCATTTGTTATCATGTTTAATGTTATAAGAGTGATGAGAAAATGGCTGCAACAATCCAACCTCGGTTTGGAATTCTTTATATCCTAGCACTGATGATGGAGACAAAACCTTATCAGCAACATGAGCGTCAACATTTAGAGTACCAAAGTAAACTCTCCCAAATGCTCCTTCCCCAATAACTTTCAAGAAATTTGAAGTTATTTTAACAAGTTGGGTGCAGGTAAAGATTTTAGTGTTCCTTAAATTGATTGGTCGTCCCTCCATTGATTTCACAGTGGTCCCTAAAGCAAATGAAAAGCATGTTTCATGTTAAAAACAGTGCCTTTGATTGACTGTAAGACAAAACAAAGAGAAAAGAGAATACCTTTCTGTCTTACCTTTCTGTCTTATGTTTCTGTAAAGTTTGACCAGGACATTGGTTCTGCTAGTCTCACCCAACACTCTAGGATCCATCTCTATATCCATACACTCCTTAAGTTTTGTCAGTAGATGGCTAATGTCAGGCCTTTCTTTAATTGACTTCACACATGACAATGCTATCTTAATTGCTTTTCTAGCTGCATTGATGTCAAATTCACCATTTAGCCTTGGATCAACGATGATGTTCCGGATATCCCCTGTTTTAATCAAAGGATCAATCCAGTTGATTATGTTAATTCTGTTCTCTGTGTCTTGTGTTATGACTGCTGGCTTACCAGTGACCTGCTCTAGTAAAATTATCCCAAAACTATACACATCACTTTTCTTGCTTACGTGTCCTGTTTTAAAAGATCTGTATGAAAACACAAGAAAAACTATTTCAATAAGATTTTGAACAAGAAAGATTTATCATGTTGAAGACTAATTAATTTGAGTCTTACTCAGGATCTAAATATCCAAATGTGTTTGCAGGACAAGTTGATACATAAGAGGCAAATTCTGTTGAAAAAGCTCTAGATAATCCGAAATCAGCTATCTTAGCTTGCATGTATTTATTGAATAAGATGTTGTCAGGTTTCAAATCTCTGTGGACTATTGGTGGCTTGCAACCATGTAGATATTCTAACCCTACAATTCTAGTATTACATTAGTTGATAGGTCCATGGCAAAAGAAATTAAAGAAAGTTTTCACTAAATAAATTAGTACCATGAGCAACATCTAAAGCATTTGAAGCCTTTCATTCCACATTAAAATTGTTTTGCTTTTTTCTGCATGAAAAACAAAACAAATTGCAAAAAAAGCAAAACAAATTTTAGTTTATAAGATAGTCAAGCTTAAGAACAGTTAAAATTAGTCATAGTGAATCCACACCTGATAAATGTTGTTTCAAATTTCCATTAGGCATGTAGTCGTATATCAATGCCTCCTTATTATCTTCATCACAATATCCCTCTAAAGAAACCAAGTTTTTATGATGAACAACAGTCAATAGTTTTGCCTGCATTTTAACATGATGCTTTGTCATAATAAAATTTATTTGTTAACAGTGTGTAATGCTATAGAGTGTTAAAGAAAAGTGACTACAGTGATCCCACCTCTGCCCGGAATTCCTTGCGACGTTGCTCTGATGATGAAAGCAAAACCTTAACAGCAACATCCGTGCCATCCTTCAAGGTGCCAAAGTAAACTTCTCCAAATCCTCCCTTCCCAATCATCGTTTTGAAATTTGAAGTTATTTCAACAATCTCAGAGTGAGTAAAGGTTCCAGTCTTCGAATTCCTTGACGGTTCCTCCATTGATTCCCTAATCCCTAAACCAATGAAAATCATATCTTGTTCCACGTTAAAACAATGCCTTGCTTACTCTAAGGAAGGGGAAAAAAAAGTACCTGTTTTGTCTTCTCCTTCTGTTTGGAATCCTGGAAATTATCAGTATCACGAGTTTTACACTGAGCAAGAAGACAGGATTAAACCATAACAAGCAAAAAACCTATTCTCAGGAAACCGGCGATCTCCCTGTTTTATCCAGCTTCAGCTTCTGCTCAACAGGCGGGGAAAAAGCGTACCGGGAGAGGTTAAAAGGAGGAAGAACAGAGGTTGTCAGTAATTTCCTATTCCTTTTCGCTTCTGCCCGGGGGAATTATATGGAGAAATTGATGTGAACTGGGTTTTTCTTGGTAGGAGCAGGTTTGGATTTTGTCAACGAAGAAAAATCGTTCATATGTTTTTTAAACCATTGTTGCAGTTGCTTTTGGTTTTTTATATCATTCCACAGAATTCAGGAGGGCGAGGGAACTGTACCAAAAAAAAAGGAGGGCGAGGGAACATCTTACGAGTCAAAACACGGCATTGTATTCGGTTTTTAAACGATTGTTGCAGTTGCTTCTAGTTTTTAATAATATCATTCCACATCTTACGAGTCAAATCCGGCATTGCGTTTTTTTTTTTCCCATCATATAAATGACCCTGTAATTTTTTTTTTATTTCAAAATTCAGATTGGTTTCGACATTTTCCTCGTCCAATAGATAAATCAATTATGATTTATATAATAAATTAAAAGTTAAATGTTAATTGTAGTACTATAATTTTAGAATTTTGTATAATTTTTATTCTTCAACTCTTTTATATGTTTTTTTATTTCTTAATTATAAAAAATATATTTTTAATCATTTTATCATTTAATCCATTAAAATTGACTAAATATACATATTTTTAGTTTTTTTTTATTTATAATACATACATATTAAAGTGAAATCAAATACTTTAATACCTTGTATCTTAATTAATTTTATTGTCATTTGTTATTCTTCTAGATTATTCTTAATTAAAATTTCTATCTTTTAAATTATTTAAATAATTATAGGGTTAATCATTTTTAGTACTTCCTTAGCTAATAATTCTTCAGGGATCAATACTCTAGTTAGTAGAATATTACTTGAATAATTAATATACTTTTTAAAGTGATTTTAACTCATCAGTTATTATCAATAACTTAATTACAGAATATTAAATTCAAAAAATTTAAGGTGAGTATTTAACATATGAAACAAAGAACCATGTCAATGTGGTCTTACCAAATTTATGCATCATGATGTGCTATTGCCTTTTATTCTTCTGTTGTACAATCTCACACCACATCAACACATCTTATGAAGATCGATCATGTCCTCTCGCTTATCCATTTCATTTGATTCCAAGATAGACTTAAGCAGCACAGCAAGTTTTCAAGCACTCCCAAAGCATCTCATCCATATTCTACTTGCTAAATCACAATTAGGGACATGATCTAAATCCTCTACGGTTTGTATCTACCACATCCCTCCTTAGATGCCATCCATTTAAGAGTTCAACAAATCCTATTTCTTCCTCCACTTCTATACACTCATTCGTTCTCTCCTCAATTTAAATTCCCACTTCCAGCTTCCTCATTGCAATTTAACAAACCCATGCGCAATTTTTAACCATAAAAACAATTTATGATTAACCGAATCCTGCAATTTAAGCAAATTAACTTGCAAAAACAAAAATGAAATTACTCAATAACAGAGACAGGAACAAGGCGATCAATCAACTCATAAAAAATTAAAAAGATCAATATTTTCATAATAGATAAATTTATAGAAATTCTTGAGTTTTAAGTACTTAGTTTTCGAATAATCATGTGCTATTTCCCAAAAATAAATACATAGGGCGAACCAAAAGTTTCAGTTATCTGGAATGGGAAGAAGCTACCTTATTTCCAACCAAAGAGAGGTTTATGTCAGAGTAATCCTTTATCACCTTATCTCTTTATTATGGTTATAGAGAATGTTTCATATATGATTATGCACAGATTGCAGGAACATTAATGGAAACCTTTTACAATTTCATGTAGGGGACTGGTTCTCTCTTATTTATTTTTTATAGATTATCTTATGCTGTTTGGTATGGCTTCCCTTTCATAAATTGAGATTATTATGGATTGCCTTTTAGAATTTGTTGGATGCTTGGGGCTAGAGTTAAATCTGAGCAAGTCTAAATTATTTGTTTCACTAAATATTTAGGGGCAGTTAGCAAATTTGTATAGCTCAACTTGTGGCATTCCTTTAACAAATGATCTGGGGATTTATTTGAGGATTCTAATTATTCATGGCAGGTTCAAATCTAGTATGTATAAATACATTTTGGAAAAGATGCAGCTCAACCTTGCAAGGTGGAAGCAAAATCTATTGAGTCTAGCAAGCAAAAAAACTTTGGTACACTCTATAACCTCTCTGATACCAATAAATAGCCTGCAAATAGTCTTTCTACCTAGTACCAATTGCTCAACAGTTGATGCTCTAAACTGCAAGTTTCTTTGGAGCATAGATATGCAATCTAATATGCAACATCTTGTTAACTAGAATGATGTTTACTTGCCTAGAGAATATGGAGTTCTAGGGTTGAGATTTGCTAGGGATAGTAATAGAGCTTTGCTTGTGAAATTAGGTAGGCATATGCTTTTTGGAACAAGAAACCATGGTTCCAAGCTTTCATTCATAAATACCTCCATTTAGATGACTTTTCTAGTTGCAACCCCATGGCTTCCTCGTTAGTAACATGGCGAAGCATTCTGAAGTGTAGAGATGTGTTGCACTTAGGAACATGGTGGCAGGTCAGATCTGGTATGAAAATTTAGTTATGGCATGATGTTTGGGCAAGTAACACAAAGCTCCTAAACTCTGCATTAACTCTAATTCCATACCATCTCCTTGTCATATCAGTGGTTGATATCATTAGCAACTCTGAATGGACTTTTGAGCAACTGACTAGACCCCTCCCAAACCATTTATTACAAATTATTGCATCTATTCCTTTACCTATAGCATGCCATTTAGAGGATAATATTTACTGGCATGATTCACCCCATGGTGAACTCTCAGTTAAATTCACATTCCATCTCCTCCAACAATCATGATTACCTGACATACCTAGAGCAGAAGAATGGACATGGATATGGCAGTTATGTTGTCCTGAAAGAGTTAAACTTTTTGTTTGGTTTATTAAAGAGAGGAAGAGTTCTTACAAACTTAGTTCACTTTGATTGAAATATAGCTCCTAGTTTGGCTTGTCATCATTGTGAGTAGTCACCTGAAACCCCAATACACCTATTGTGAGATTGTTACTACTCACGGTTACTTTGGGATGCTATAGGCTCTCTTCCAAATGACTTCTTCCATGTTGATTTGATATTTGGCTAAGACAGAATTCTTCTAAGCCTAGGTTGTGGCCTTGTTCTTCCAATTCATGGCCAAGCATTTTCCTTGCAACCGTTTGGTACTTGTGGAAAAGCGGGAACAAGGATCCTACCGTTTGTTGTTGCTCAACAAACTAATAATCTAGCCTTGGAAACAAGGCTTACTTTAGAGGCTAAGGTGACTCTCACCCCTAGAGCCCCCAAATAGGTCCCTTAGACTCCTCCATCTCAGCACTTTTTTAAACTCAATGCAAATGGATCTCATGACCATATTTCAAGTAGCTTAGTTGCAAGAGGGCTTCTTTGTGATCATTGTGGACGTTAGTATCATGGTTTTGCTGTAAATGTCGACATTACCACAAGCTTCTTGGTTGAGTTGTGGCGATGCAAATAGGGCTTGAAATTGGCTATTTCTCTTAGAGTGAAATAGTTGATTTTGGAAATCAATTCTCTATTGGTGATGTAGCTCATTCAATCTAGGAAGGTGTTAGTAGGATCAGATTCGATGCTTCTTATTGATATCTTTTTGTTGTTAACACTTTTTGTTCTTACTTGGTACAATACACTCTTAGGGAAGGCAATTCAACAACAGACTATATGGCATACATTGGCCATGAACTAGATCTGGGCACAACTTTTTTTCCAACACTCCCAATGGGAATTAGTATGATTCTACAAAATGATTGTATTGGGACTATGTTCCTTAGGAGTTAAGTTGAGAAAATAGCTTCTGATGTATCCCAAAAAAAACCTTGTAGTGAAGCAAGGGTATGTAGGAAATGAAGAGTTGTTATTCCCAATTGTATAGTTGAACTCCTTTGGATCAACACCTTCACTACTTGTACATGCCTTCTTAGAGCCCTAATCAAGATTCGGCCTTGCCAAATGCTTCACCTTTGACAATGTGTTTAATGCACTGACACAAGAAAAACTAACCAAGGCTTGAACAAAGTTTATTGGTAAACATTTTTTTATATACATTTGGGAATTCATACAGAAATTATTGTGTACTTAAAAATAAAAAATCCTTTGCCTTTACTATTACCTATCAAGGACTTAATTAGAATTCATTTGAATCTTGCCATTCTTCCATTACAATTTGTATCCCCCTCAATTTGTTGGGAATGCATCTCTATTAGAATATCAGTATTTATTTTAGAATATTATATTCATATTATAATTGATTATATACATTTAAGCTAATTGGTTTTATACCTAGGAATATTCTATTGTATAAATCTATATATAGGATCTTTGTATATACAATGAAAACGAGAAAACAATAAACCTTTCTTCAAATTAATCTTATTATTTTCTGTTTCCAACATGGTATCACAGCAATAAGCTCATTGTTCTTCTCTTTTATCATTGTTGTTCAGTTTTTTGAGTTGGATTTTCAAATCCATTTCAGATCTGAAACTTTGTCATTGGGATCTCTTCTCCTACAGATTGGATTGTTTATTCTCAATTCTCAAGCCCTTTTTGAGGTATTTTGTTGAGTTGGTATTTTACTCTTGGCATGTACTTCTTTATATTTTTATAGATTTATTTTAGTATTGTGAGTTTTACTAATTCTATGGCGAGTTTTGAAAGGACCATTACTCATTTTGTGATTGTTATGGTTGCCAAAGAAGTGATAAACCAACCTAATGTCAACCTTGAATCCCTAAAACATGTGATATTAAAACTTTTTGATGCTCTTATTGCCTTATCCATTCTTGCTCCAAGTACCAAACCTTGGTATTTTGATTCTAGATGTTGTAACCATATGTCTTCAACTACTACTAATTTCTCTTCAATGTCACCAAATGATTATTTTCCTAATATTTGTTTTGTTAATAATTCTCCTATGAATGTTAGTCACACTGGCAATATTTCTACAAAGTCATTAACTTTACCAAATGCTCTCTTGGTTTTAAAACTTAGTTATAATATTTTATCTGATGGTCAATTATGTGATCTTGACCTTGAAGTAACATTTTCCACTCATGGTTGTTGTGTGCAGGACCCACAAACAAGACAACTTCTTGGCACTGGTCGCAAGGTGAGGTGTATGTTTGAGCTCAATTATCTACAAATTCCACATCATAAAATGGATACACCATCATTTCCAAATGACCGCTTCATCCAAATCTTGCTTTGTGCTGTCGAATTAGAGTCTTTACAAATTCCATACAACAAATTTTGTAAGCTTGTGCTACTACTAACATTTCTCCTCTCCATTTGTGGCACTGACGGCTTAGACATATCTCAATTAGTAAACTTCATCCACTTATCTCTTGTGGTTTGTTAGGATCAATTTTGAATGAATCCTTACATTGTGTGTCATGTCAATTTGTAAAGCAACCAGTTTTATCATTTTCGAGTAGTCATTCCCATTTTGTTGCTCCTTTTGATCTTGTGCATTTTGATATTTGGGTTCTATCTCCTACACCCACCAAGGGGTGTTCTAGGTACTTTGTGTTGTTTATTGATGATCATACTTGTTTTAACTGGATATACCTTATAAAAAATCGCTTTTAATTATTACAAATTTATATTGATTTTGCTACCATAGTCAAAACTTAGTTCTATAAAATTATCAAAGTTTTAAGAACTAACAATGTTACAAAATATCTTGGTACTAAACTTCAATCCTTTCTAAAAGAACATGGTACATTGACACAACAATCTTGTCCTTACACTCCTGAACAGAATGAGCAAGCTGAACACAAACACAAACACATCTTTGATTGTGTTCATACTTTGCTCATTTTGTCTTCTTGTCCAGAGCAATTTTGGGGTGAAACTGCTCTTACAGTTGTTTATCTTATTAATCACATTTCATCATCAGTTCTTAATAACCAGTCTCTATACGTGCATCTACATGGTATTCTTCCTGCTTATGATCTTCTTAAGGTTTTTGGTTATTCATGTTTTGTTCTTCTTCGACCTCATGAACATAACAAGTTAGTGCCTAAAGCTCGATTATGTTGTTTTTTAGGTTATGGGATTGCACAAAAAGGTTATCGTTGTTGGTATCCTGTGTCACAAAAACTTTAACTTTTACGTCATGTTGTATTTTGGGAACACACTATGTTCTCATCGTTGTCAAACTTCAAAGTGTTATCCTTTCATCAACCTCCATTTTTATTAATCCTTTTGTTGAGCTATTTTCTAATGATTCTGATGTAGGTGTCATAACCCAATTTTAATTGGGGTTGAATAATAATATTGAAATCCAATGGACCATTTTTGTAAAAGCATGAAACTTGAAGGGTTGAAAGGAGGAATTGGCTAAACGACGTTGTTTTGCTTGTGGGAAAAAATAAAAATAGAAGGCCAAGGTTTAGTCAAACCCTAGCCTTCCAAAACTCATGATTCTTGTTGCTTTGCCACCACCTATTCTCCAAAAATTCACAAATTCTTCTTGATTTATCCCTAAATCTACTTGAGTTTGGATAGATTATAGCATCTGTATGGAGAAATTTTCGGATTCGGATTCGAATTCTTCATCAAGAATCACAGAGAAAGATTTCAAAATCAATTCAACCTGGGAGTCCAAATCTTTAAAGGGTATGAATTTGGCCTTTAAAGGGGGAAGATGCAGGATTCTGATTTCAAGTAGGATTAGATTATTATTTATAATTTAGGGATTTTAGAATTAGAGAAGGATTTGGATTTTTAAATCTGTAATCTAGGGATTTGGATTAGGACTTAGAATTAGAAAATGATTTGGTTTTTTCCGTTTGTCTATAAAAGGGGCTTTGGCTAATCAAAGAAAACAAAGGAAAAAAGAGAGAAGAAACCGAGATATTGAGAGAGAGAGAG